ACTACTAGTATACTACTAGTATACTACTAGTATACTACTAGTATACTTCTAGTATACTTCTAGTACTACTACTACTACTACTACCACGACGACTACGACGACGACTACTACTGCTAAGTCCCCGGGCTGCTACTCCACCCCGTCGGCAGGCGGGGGCTACTGGTTGCAGAGCGCCTGGTGGGCCCGGACCGGTAGGTGCTAAGGTGCAGCCCCACACCACCACCAACCCCTAAACAAGAAAGTGAGATCCCAACAACAAACGCATCAACGCGTCAACATATGAACCAACAAACCCCAATACCCTTCCAATCCTTGTACCGTTGGGTGACCCACGGCCCTGGTGGACCCAGCTGCCCATGGACTAGAGACTAGAGCTGCGCCAGGCCAAAGATTGCGCAAGCATCGCTTTGATCCTGGGGATGCCTTGATCTTCCTTGGGCACAAGCCACTCGGCGAACCCTCTCCTAAGCCTCGGGAAGGTGGAAGGTAGATGACACGCTGGCGGTGAAGTTGATGCATGCCAGGCATATACCATTTCCAGATCCATCCGACAGGTTCTGGACCATCCAGGATCAGAAGGGTCGCCATACATGGGTTTTGTTGCACCAGCCCAATGCTGAGGTACCATTGCATCCCGGCAAGCAGTTCAAAGCTTTGCTGTTTAAACTTGGGCAGATGGGAAACCATCATTCTTATGACGAGTAATCCAAATAAATCGACTCATCATTTTGAGTTGAGTTTCACTTGTGCTTCTTGTGTTGAGACTTTCGAGCAGTTCCCCTTTTCCAGCTGGAACGCCACGATCTTCCACTCTCGAGGTGTGACTCCTGTGGAAGCCGGTTGCCGCCGGGTCCGCCTGGCCTGTTTGATGGCAAAGGACCGTACCCCACGAGTGGCAGCGACCCGTTAGGCTGGCAGCAGCCCTATGGCTGGCACCGAAGTGAACACGCTTGGTTTTATATGGAACATTATTGATGAATAATATCGTTTTTTTTGGCAGCTCATGATGACTGGCCCCAAGAAAGTTCAGATGTCCATCCTCAATCACCAGCGTTTGGCTCAGCTATATATATATATACGAGCGAAGCCCCAATCTTTAGTAGCGTTCAACTGAATACCTTCAGAACCAGCATTCCTTTTGGGAAACCAATTGTTTTATCAAGTATCTAAAATTGGCCAACAGCTGCAACAGTTCTCATACGTTCCCTGCACTGTTTAATTTTGGAGACCTGTCCGTCCATGTTCATTAACAAGAGGCTATGCCACAAAGGCTCTTTGGGGTCACGCGCTATGAACCGCCTGGACACATGTTTCCGTTCTTGGAGCGAGCTGGGCTGCCCAAATAGGCCCCAAATCTTCAGCAAGACCGTGTTGTGGCCCGAAAATCACTTGTCAACTTGTGGATTCGTTATGCAATGCATGTGTAGGGTCTGTCCGTTCTTACCTGTAACAGTCAGTAAACAATTATCAACATTTTTGCACAAGGCCTGCAACCTAACCATCATCATCCACTGTTACAGGTAATAGGATAGACCCAATGCATGTTCATTACCAGCCCAGCTGGGCTCAGGGTTGATCAGTATTTGCCAGGTGCTGGTGGTCGAGCTTTGGCATGGTCAGGAGCGCACCTGCGGCCATCGCTGCATCTCTGTTGAACAGATGCAGCAATTGACAACATCAACGGAGGAGGTTTGTTATGCATTACAGAACCCATTGCTGTATCACATCGATTGTATCACATTGTTCATGTGTGTTTCTAAGTCTTTTTTACTTTCTGGTTCTTTTTGATGCTTTTGCCTTTTTTCCTTTTTCCTTCCTTTCCTTTCTTCCTTTCCTTCTTTGTGTGAAGCATGGAGGGTCAAAATGGGTTTTGGTCACTTTGGGGTGCTGCAAAATCAAACGCCGAGCGCGGGATCGGTTCACCTGGTTCGCCGAGCACCCAGGTGATCGGCGCTGGAAGCGCTGCGACTTTGGGCGCTGGACGCGACGCCAGAAAATGGGACGAACTGTGATCTATGTCTCAAAGTGAGGGCAAACGATGGCAAAAGTTTTTTTTGTTTTTTCCATGTTTTTAACTCAATAGGCCCAGGAGGCGAATGCATGAGATACCATGGATTTCATACATGCATTGTATGGATCTATCAGCTCCTCTGGATAATATGGATGATCTGTGTGGTGGATCCAATGGATATAATGAGATACAATGGATGATCATGGATCTATCAGTTCCAGACAGGAGCTCAGTGCATTTTCGCAGCTTCGCAGCATTCAATCGGCTCAAGCACCAAACGTGTGACCCGTGCGATCATTTCAAGTAGCTTTGTTGCTTCATTTCAAGCGGAAGCAATGGCCAAGGTTCTCGATGATGCTGCCCCACTGGAGCCGTAGACCGTGCCGCGTTTGTTTGGCGCCGTAGGGTCGCTGGGGGCCAAAGAATCCGAATGTGTCGAAGGGTTCGCATAGCTTAGCTCAGTTGTAAGGACCACCCTTTCGCGGACACTTTGTGTACCGGAATGACTTTCGGAAAGCTATGAGCCCGCTAAATAGTGACTTACTGTACTTTGATTGCCACGAGTGTAGTGTTTGACACGAGTCATGGATGGAGAGAAGCAGTGTGGCCTGGTGGCCTGGGTGACAACTGCTTCGTTCTTGCGGAGGAGGAGCGGGAAGCCACTGAGATGCAGCCAGTGATGATGGAGGAGGAGACTGATCAATGCTTCGCCCTTCGATGTATGTGTTTGTTCCTTTTTTCTCCATGAGCTCGAAACGGCTCGTGTCATGAGCAGTGGGTTAGGATGTCCTTAGTATGCATGCCCGGGCCGGGCCCATTAAAAAAGAAGCAGATTTGGACTTCGTTGCGAGTTGTGCAGTATTATGGGATTCGTTGCGGGTTGGGGAGGGGCGAACCTTCGGGATGCAGGTTACAACGCGACAGATGAATCAAACCTGCCAAGGGATTGCCCATCATGACAGGATACCCACCCTGTCGTTATAGCAAGAGGACATAAACAGAGAACAAATTACAACGGAAGTTTGATCAGATCACAATAGTTATATCGTTCAACCACATCAGCCCAAGGACATTGTTTCGGATGGGGTTCAAACAGGTGTTCATCAGCAGGTTGGTCAGGGACCCCGCAGCGCAGGAGACAGCGTCCATGCCGGACACTGAGCCACACCCAGACTCGATTGGCTCCGACTTGGAAAAGGACTTGGAACAAGGCGCAGGCGCAGACATCGGAAGCAAACTTGGCAATGGGTGAAAGCGTGAAGTCGATTTGTTCTGGTTGAAAACTCACAGCTTCACAACGCGATCTGAGTTCAGCGGGAAGATCGTCCTTTTCAACTCCTCATGTTCTACACCTATAGGGACCATATATCATCCTGTAATCTCATGAATGAAGGGGTCAGAGTGGAAGCAAGACCAGCCCTTTGGAGGCAAGTCACAGGAGGGCGGCGACGGATTTGGCGAGTCCATGCGGTTGGTCAAGCTGCCGCACGGCTCAAATCCGGGCGCGCTGACGCGCCGGGATTTTTGGGGGCAGAACCAAGTCTGAAGCGGTCAGAGCACTTGGCTCACTTGGCCTCCCTGAGATGCAAAATCCCTGGAAAGCTCCGGGAAGGAGAGCCACTCCAAATCGGTCGATCTCGCCCGGTTTCGGCGGTTCTTTCGACGGTCCACACTTCCGCCGACCCAGGTCTTCGACGGAAGTGAACGTCTTGCGACAATCCTTCGATATGTTGTTGCAAGCCTTGGGAAATGACCGTGAAGCCGTGGGCGATGCGATCTACGGAACCAAGATCGGTGCGTTGGTCGCGATCAAGGACCGGAGCCGGCTCGCCCACGCGGAGGTGTATACAGCACGGTGTGGCCGATCGTGAAACGAAGGACGTGAAGGAATGAACATGAACAACTCTGCTCGGCCAACGTACGCCGGATTGAAGGTTTTTGGGTGTTGTGCTGAGTGTGCTTGGGATGCAAAGTCCCAACTTCAAGCAACAGCTCGAAGGTCCTGTGCGACTTTGGAGCCAGCAAGTCTCTTCGCTGCATGCTGCTTAGAGAGTGCAGCGATTTGTGTGAAGCATATTTTTAGATATTTTAGTAATCGCCCAGGGCCTCAAAGCCTCAGTCAGATCAGTGAAGAATAATTTTGCGGTCACTTGCCAGCGCTTGCCAGGACAATTTCACTACTCCAAGAGCAGTCGTTTCTTTGCGCTTCTTCAACTGCTTTCGCCTCCTCTTGGAAAAGGCCAGGACTGACTGATTCATCACACATCCATCAATGAAGACAAAAAAATCCGTGATTCCTACTGCGTTGACCGTCTTCGCAGAACAAACGTGTCAATGGTGTGTGAATTTGTGTGTGGTTCAAGCTGACGAGGCTTAACATGTAGTATATTATTATTATATATGACATTATTATGTTACATGAAATGGTTCCCTTGATTGTGAACGGGGCCAACCACGGGTCGCCAGTCTCGGCCAGTCTCCATGGTTCAGCCCCTGAAAAGTGAGGTTACCACCTCAGCAAAAACACTATCATTGCCACTCGATTGGGTGGATGTCAAGATCCATAGGTGTGGGCCGGCGGGGCCGGCGGGTTTCCTTCTGGCAGGGGTCCAATCAGAAGGTCCACTGAGTCATACTGAGTGGGGCGGATTTGGTGGGGTGGCTGAGGCAGAGGACCCGGACGAGATGAAGATCTACGTGGAGACCTTGGCTTTCAAGCGACTGGGCCGCGCGTGGTGGATGCCCCAACGTGGTGTGATCACAGGAACACGTTGGGTCAAACCCTGGTTTTCCGACACCTAGTAACAAGTGCCACGCTAGTAGTAACAGGTGCCTTACTAGTAGTA